TTAACCCTCCTGTGAGAATTGTTTCGATGTTATTAAGTAGGTGTTATTTCCCATTATACATCTGGACAAACTGAGTCTTAGAGAATTACATAGCCAGAAAAAAAGAAAGATTACACATCAAAGATTCTGACCTAGCTTTAGCTCATCTAACACTCATGTTTTTTCTTCTACATCATGTTCCTTGTGGGGGTGGAAAAGCACATAGCACATTGTCTTTTGTCTGAGCTTATGGTGCCCTTTGTGTGAGTTTATAGTACCCTTTGTCTCTTTTGTCAAAGGAGAATTTGGCCTGATCTTTCCTGAAGATTCATTGTGAAAATGTAAGGTGGAAAATCCTCGTTTTACAATGGGACAGTATGAGTTGAAGGTATTTCCTCAGTGTCACCAAAAAAAAAAAAAAAAAGCCAAATCAGAGATTTGATTTCTTGTATATGGATATGTGCTTCTGGTGTATGTGCTCACACTGCTTAGTATTAAAAAGCATAATGCTTATGTTGATTTTTCTGATTGCTGTAACATCTTGGTTTCTCTTTTATTTTCTAACTTTCTAAACTGAATTAATCTCTATCTAATACAAAATAAATCAGTGAACTAGCTGCAGCATTTATCCTGATTGGATTTCAGGCTCATGGTGAGGTACTCAGAAAATTCTGGCTCAATTGTTACGGACATGGGAGGCTTTGCAGTTATTTATTAGAAGACGACCCGGGAAGAAAAGAAAAAATGGATTTATGTGATCCTGTATTGCTAAATACAGCACACTGCTGCTGTCTCTTTTTTACTGCTTCCTCTAAAAGTCATCGTTTCAATGCACTAATCTTTTAAACAGCCATTCAGTGGGAATTGGGCTAGAACTTTGCTAAGGGGTCACATTTACCAACCCGACAGTTATACATTTACAAAAGAAATAGCATGAATTTATTCAGCATCAAAACCTCTGCATCTTTTACCACCCAACTGCATTTCACACTGTATTACCATCAGTGAACTATCATGACTATATAAATTCCATCCAGATTCTTCATTTAATTAACTAGCATTCTTTGAACAAAAATAAAAGTGCTGTTTTTATAGGGGAATAAAAGCTGCATGAAGTGAGTGTGAAGGAGACAAATCATCAAATTAGTTATTATTCATTGCAGCTATGGAGAATTCTCTGCCCCTCCTCTTTCTCTTCAGTGGCACTATATTTTTTTCTAGCTTGATTGAATGAATGGAAAAGGGGGGAACAGTGTAGCAGCCTCGAAGGTATTTCCGTATATTGTAATGGTCACATCCTAAGCTCATGTGGGGTTGGGCACTCACGATATTGTCAAATACAAGTGATTTTTTTTTTTTAATCATTTTCTGTTTTTGGAGAGACAGTATGGCATAGTAGCCAAGAGCATGAACTTTGTGCTTTGTGACTAGATAGCCTTGGTTCAAATCCTAGCCTGTTTGTGACTTTTTTTTTTTTTTTTTTTTTTTTTTTTTTTTTTTTTTGAAGAGAGAGAGGGAGCATGAGCGGGGTAGAGGGAGGAGGAGCAGAGAGAGAGAGAGAGAGAGTTTCTCTGCACTGTCAGTGCAGAACCTCCATGCAGGGCTCGATCCCATGAACTATGAGATCATGACCTGAGCTGAAACCAAGAGTCAGACGCTTAACTGAGTGAGCCACCCATGAGCCCCTAGGTTTGTGTTTCTGAGCAAGTTACTTAATGTATCTGTGCTTCAGTTTTTTCCACCTGTTAAATGAGTATAATAATAGACATACCTCAGGCAGCAGTGTGTGGATTGGCTGAGTTGGTCCATGTAAATCATTTACAGTAGTGCCAATATCCATCTGCATCCTGTATGTACAAAAGCAGTCTGATGTGAAGGTGATGAAGCTGTGACACCAGTGACTTGGTCACCTGGCCTGAACCAATTGATGTGGCTTCATAAATGTTCTTTTATTTACCCAGATAGTTCTTTGTAACAGTATTTTTTGATTATAAGACAGTTTTAAAAATAAAGAAATTAAGTTTTGTTTTTTTTAATTTTTTTTTTAACATTTATTTATTTTTGAGACAGAGAGAGACAGAGCATGAACGGGGGAGGGTCAGAGAGAGAGGGAGACACAGAATCCGAAACAGGCTCCAGGCTCTGAGCCGTCAGCACAGAGCCTGATGCGGGGCTTGAACTCACGGACTGTGAGATCGTGACCTGAGCTGAAGTCGGACGCTCAACCGACTGAGCCACCCAGGCGCCCCAAGTTTTGGTTTTTTTTATTTGAGTATAGTTGACATGCAATGTTACATAAGTTTCAGGTGTACAAGGTAGTGATTCAACAACCATACAGTTATGCTGTGCTTGTAATTACCCTCTGTCGCCATGCAACGCTGTTGCAATACTGTTGACTGTATTCCCTACTGCTGAATCTTTTGTTCCTGTGGTTGAAATGGAGCTCTTTGAATCAGAGGTGTGATAGGCAGTTGGTTGGCCATATCTCTCCATCCTGAACCCTGCTGCCAGATTTAGCTTTCTGAGACACTCTGTTCTCAAATCAATTTCTGTTCAAAAGGCCTTAAAAGTTACCTGATATGGGGCACCTGGGTGGCTCAGTCAGTCAGATGTCCGACTTTGGCCCAGGTCATGGTTTGTGAGTTCGAGCCCCACATTGTGCCCTGTGCTGACAGATCGCAGCCTGGAGCCTGCTTCGGATTCTGTGTCTCTCTCTTTCTGCTTCTCTCTCTCTCTCTCTCAAAAATAAATAAGCATAAAAAAAAAAAAGTTACCTGATGCAAGCTCTTTTGCCTGTCATGCCATTTCCACCAGAGCCTTGCTTGTTCTTTCCCTGTATCTCCTCAACCTTTTTTATCCATTGTTCTCCCAGGAAGCATGTACTCCAGTCAAAATTAATCTAGTGCCATTTTTCAAATGTACCACATTCCTTCTTGTCTCTCTTCCTTCGTTCACATTGGTCTTTTTGTCTAACATGCCCTACCCTGTTCCTCCACTTATCTAAGTTATACCTAATTTTCTGAACTGAGCCATAAAAGGGAAGGTACCTTTTATCCTCTTTGTATTTTTTATCACATAATATGATTGTCTGGATGTGCTAGCTGCTAAGTAAATGCTGTTAATGATGATGAAGTCTTCTGTTAGCTCTACTTTCAAACTATATTTAGTATCTCACCACTTTACACCAACTCCAACACTGTCACCCTTGTTCAAGCCACAGTTACTTTATGCCTGTCCCCTTCTTCCACCTGCTCCACCCTTGCCCACTCCCTACAATTTACTCTTAACCCATCTGCAAAAGTATTGCACTTACAGGTTAAGTCAGATCATAATCGTTTCTCTGCGCCAAACTCCCCAATAACTTCCCATCTCACCCTGAGTAAAGCCAAAGTTTTTATGATGCCCTACAAAAGCCTCTTAAGGTCTGCCACTCCACCCCAACACCATCCCTGCCCTCACTCCTTGTGTCCTACTACGCCCTTCTTCCTGTCCCTTACCACTCTCTACTTCTGTCACACTGGCTTCTTTGCTGTTCTCTAAAGATGCAAGGAACAGTTCCACCTCAGGGCCTTTGCACAAACTGGTTCCTTTCCCAGAAAGCTCTTTGAGAAATCTTCATGGCTCCATGCTTCCTGCAGCTCTCTGATTAAATGTCTTCTCAGTAAGGTCTTCACTGATAATCCCTAATTTATTGTCTATCTCTCCAAACTAGAGTGTCAATGGGGGGGAGGGGGTGCTTGAGGGAGGACTTTTTGTCTGTTTTGTTAGGTTCTCTGTCCTCAGTACCTGAAACAGAATCTGACATATAATAAGTACTTAGGAAACAGTTAGTGCATGTATGAATGAAAAATTGACCCTTAAAAATATGTCCATATTCTTAACTCTCCCTTCATTTCAAACGTATTTAGACTCAAACAAAAGCAAGCATCCTATAATAGCTCTGAGAAAATTAAAATAGCCATAGTTGAATATTAGCCATGGCAATTGGAGCAGAAAGTTCCATTGCAGAGAAAAGATATTTCTGCATCAAGAAAAAGAAATCGTTTACAGTATAATAACTGCCATGTGAAATTATATTAGGTGTCCTGGGGGGACTGTTGTCCACCCAGCACCAAAGCACATTTTGAGAGCGCAAATGGTTTTGGTCACTCCATCCTCTTCCTAAGGTAGAGAATGTAGCTAGTTTTGGGGTTTTTTTATTTGTTTTTATTTGTTTGTTTTGTCATTTGTTTTGTCACTTAGTTGTAGAGTAAAAAGGTGAAAGAGCATTAATGTTGGAGTTTAGCAGACCCAGGTTTAAACTCTGGCAATACTATGTGTCCTTGGACAGAATGGGTAACCTCTCTGAGCCTCTGTTTAATTATGTATAAAATAGTTTTTAATAATGCCTTTCTCTGTTCTAGAGGTTAAATGAGAAAAGACACATGAATCTTCTAGGACAAAAATGTCATGTGAGCATTGCACCCTATAGAAATAGCTATATGTTTTGCTACTGAATTCCACGTTTTGGCTTAAATCAAAAGGGAGAAATAGCAGTTAGACTGATGTCTAGGAATAAGCTTTGGGTCCTGGGCTTGGACCACAGGGAAGTCTGCTACACCACAGATCTCTCAGCTGTATCTGATGAAGCTGTAAGCACCTTTCTAGAACATGAGCCCTACCACCTACTTGAGTTTTGTGGAAGCCTACTCTTTATCTTCTGAACCAGTTCTTATTCTAGTCTCCATTTTCAATTCCCTTCTACTTCCCTTATTTCCAAAATGTTATGCTAGCTGTGTGAAGTTGGAAATCCTATACTGAAAATTATCCAGGAGATCAACAGAGGAAAAGTAAGATCAGGCATTTACTGTCCATAATAAAATAACGTGAAGACTCATTTTCACATTGATATGTGAGGAACACATGTATATCTATTAAGTTTGGGAATTATAATTCCAGAGGGAGGAAAATATTTTGTTTAAACTGTATGTTTTTTTTTTAACATGGCTTTTTTTCAATGGCATGAATTTTGCAATCCTCAGGAAGCCAAAGCTGTTGTTGAAGAAACCAGAGCCCTGCGAAGTCGGATTCACCTTGCCGAAGCCGCACAGCGACAGGCACATGGAATGGAAATGGACTATGAAGAAGTGATCCATCTGTTAGAGGCCGAGATCACAGATCTAAAGGCTCAGCTTGCTGATTATTCGGACCAAAATAAAGTAAGCAAAACCGTCCTCTCTTTTAGTTACCATGGTTTCCTTGCCGTTGTCATGTATCCTGTTTTCATTTTCTTTTCATCTGCACTTCTAAACTAGGTCAGTGTTTGTCTTCTATTATTCAATGATAGGATGATGTGTCGTGATGGGATGGGGGGGTAAGGTGAAGGTTGTGAGCCTCCCTTTATCCACATAGCTTGGGGATGAAAAAGCATGTGACCCAAATTTATTTGGGTCATTGGTCAACATTGTGCAGCTCAGGCAGTGAGTCCTAGAACTATTTAACATTTAATTGATTACATTGGTTTTCTCCATTTGTTCCTAAACTTGCTAATTTGCCTTGTGGGGATGGGAGGAGGAGAGTCTAGGGATGGGTTTTCCTCTTTGATTAGAGCACTCAAGGAAGTGTGAATGTTAAATAATTTTTGCCCAGGGCCAAGATAATTAATAGGAAGAAACTGAGTTTGAATTTAATAGGCTCCAATTTCAATAGCAAAATACTGAATGCTATTTATAAGGCAATGTGATCCTTTTTTCATGGGAATTTTTTATATGATTTTTTAACATAATACATACTATATTCATTGAAAAGTCTTCAAAAACTATAGTAGACATACACATTTTTACTTCACTGAGGTAGAAAATTAAGTAAATTGAAATACATATTTAATGACTTCAACAAGTTCATTTAGGATAGGTGTTTACATCTCTAATACAGTCAACTTTCAAGAAAACATAAAGCAAATTTGAATAATTTATGTCTATCTATATAAACATAAAACTGTTAAATACCTTAAATATACCAAGTGGAAGTGAAACCAGTTTTAGAAAAGCAAAATGAAGAGGAAAATCTGAAATTTTCTTTGGCTAGCTCTTGAGAGGCACTAATACATTTCTCACATCTGCCCATTTAAACCGATTCCGAAAGAGCTGATGTTCCTACTTTGATAATACACAAGGCTAAGGGAAAGTTATATTACTTGAAAAGGCAACAATACTTAGAAATACTACATATATTTATTATTTTTGACCCAGTGTTTACATTTTGAAATCAGAGATCCATGCTTAGTTCATGTGAGTAACTTTAACATGATTCTGAAAATATTTGGGGAATTAATCAAAATGTCAAAAGTACAGTTTTATAAAACTGTTTACTTTTGGAGAGATAATCAACAGTCTTCAAAAATACATTCTAAGTAATATAATATTCAAAGAGTTCTCATGAATTGATTCAAAAAACTTTTTTAAGCATAGATTATTTGCAATTCTCTGTTCCAGCTCTTAGCTGAGAGACATTTTGGTCCTAAGTTGTCTGGCAATGTAATTAATTCAGTTTTTCTCTTTTTTAGCATAATGGGGTCTCCTGCCATTCCTCCTAACAAGATTCTAAGTTGGCCGTTAACGTGTCTCTGAAAAAAATAATCTTTTGTTTATTTTTCAAAGAAAAAATATTAGACAAGAGCATCTCAACATTTTCCAAACTCAATACCAGTGGAGAAAGAGAAGGAAAGTTTTTTCTTTTTAATTGTTTAAGATTGCTTCAAGAGACATTGACCAAGATATTGCAGGACGTAGATTCAAATATTCTTTTTTAAGACACAGGTTCATTTTGTAACTATGTTTTTTTCACTGTAAGTTTTTCCTTTAAAAAAATTTTTTTTAGGGGCACCTGGGTGGCTCAGTCAGTTAAGCGTCCGACTTCAGCTCAGGTCATGATCTCGTGGTCCATGAGTTTGAGCCCCTCATTGGGCTCTGTGCTGACAGCTCAGAACCTGGAGCCTGTTTCAGATTCTGTGTCTCTGGCCCTCCCCCATTCATGCTCTGTCTCTCTCTGTCTCAAAAATAAATAAACGTTAAAAAAAATAAACATTAAAAAAAAATTTTTAATGTTTACTTTTTTTTGAGAGAGAGAGAGAGAGAGACACAGCATGATTAGGGTAGGGGCAGAGAGGGAGAGAGGGAGATACAGAATCTGAAGCAGGCTCCAGGCTCTGAGCTGTCAGCACAGAGCCCAACACAGGGCTTGAACTATAAACTGCGAGATCATGACCTGAGCTGAAGTCGGACACTTAACCGACTGAGCCACCCAGGTGCCTCAAGTTTTCCCTTTTATTATCTCTATACTTACTTAGCTTTTTTATTTTTTATTTTTTCTGTTTACCCCCAGCTTAGGAAATAAAACATTACCAAACCTTTGAAGATCCAGTGACCCTCCCTAGTTACAATCTTCTCCCTTGCCCTCAGAAGTTACCACTTTCCTGGATTTAATATTAACCATTTTCTTGATCATTTTACCACATATGTTTATATCTCTTACTGGTAAATGTTGTTGAGTCCTGCCTGTTTATCAACTTTATATAAATAGAATGGTCCTACATGTATTATTCTTGCTTTTTTCACTCAAACTTTTATTTTTGAAATTCATCTATTTGAAATTTATAGTTGGTTCATGTATTTTCATTGTTTGTTTTTTTTTTACTCCCTTGAATGGATATACTATAGTATATTTGTCCATTCTGTATTTGATGAACAGTCCAATTGTTTCTGTTTTCTTTATTATGAACAATGTTGATAAAAACACTTTTGTGTATATCCTGCTCCACATGTATAACAGTTTCTCTTGGGTTGATACCTTAGAGTGGAATTGCTAGGTTGAATGATGATTGATCACCTTTACCAGGTCATGCCTAATTGTGTTTGAAAGCTTTTGAGCCAATTTTTACTCCCACCAGTAGTGAATGAGAGATACTATTTACCACACATCCTTGCTGACACATTGTTTTCATTTACTTTTAATTTATATCAATCTGGTAGGTGTAATAAGTAAATCTCATTATGGTTTAATTTGGATTTCCCTGATTACTAATGACTTTGAGCCACGGGTGTGTTGGGACCAGCTAGCACTGGCTCACAATAGGTGATTGTATGCATATCTTCTCAACTGCATATTCAGTGACATCAGGTTGTTTGGTAGCTTCATATCAGCTGTGGTGGAATTATTTATACCCCCAAATGCTATAAACTAGGGCTTTTTGCCCTGGCCCAGATAGCCAGTTGAGCATATATTTATGTACTTGTTAGGCATTTATGTTTTCTGAAATGCCTTTTCATAACTTTCAATTGTTTTTCCCATTAGGTTGTCCTTTGCACATTGATATGTAGTGATTGTTCACATGTTCAAGTTACTACACCTATATTAAATTATATGTTATTAAAAATCTTTTCTCTCAGATTCATGGCTTACTTTTCACCCAGTGGCAAAAGAAACACTGACTTTCATGTAGTCAAACTTATCAGTCTTTTCCCTTATGTGCCCTTTTACAAGTTCTTCTATTCCCAAAGATATTCTTTATATCTGCCTCTAAGTTTTGATCTTTCTGTCATTGGTTTCGTAGCATTGTATGGGGATGGAGATCCATTTTATTCTTTCTTTATACTAAATGAACGACCAACTATCCCAGCCCCATTTATTCAAAAGCCTCTTCTTTCCTAATTGATCTACAAAATCAGGTCTGTCATATATCAAGATTTCATTTGCATTTATCTTTCTGAGGGCCCGCTCTTCTCCTTCACTGGTCTATTTGTACATTCTTGCACAAATAACATATGATTTTGGTTACTATAACTTTTATAGGGAATCTTGATATATGACCATCCTGCCTAGTTCTTCTTCTTTAAAAGTATGTTGGCTACGTGACCCTTTGTCCTTTTATGTGTATAAATTCAACCAAAAGAAAAAAAAACTACTGGAATTTTTACTGAAAATAAGTTAAATATATAGATGAATTCGGGAAGAATTTACATGTTTATGATTGAGTCTTTATAAACACCACTGAAGCAAAAGACCGGATAATTGCATTGTGGCCAGAGAATCTAGTCTATAGTATAATCGATTCCAAAATATGTTGGTGGTTGCTTTGTGGCTTATACTGTATAGCCAGTGTTCACACATGGTCAAAGTGAGCTTCAAAAGAATTCTTCAGGGGCGCCTGGGTGGCGTAGTCGGTTAAGCGTCCGACTTCAACCAGGTCACGATCTCACGGTCCGTGAGTTCGAGCCCCGTGTCGGGCTCTGGGCTGATGGCTCAGAGCCTGGAGCCTGTTTCCGATTCTGTGTCTCCCTCTCTCTCTGCCCCTCACCCGTTCATGCTCTGTCTCTCTCTGTCCCAAAAATAAATAAACGTTGAAAAAAAAAATTAAAAAAAAAAAAAAAAAATTCTTCTTCATGTTTTTTTGATGTATCATTTTATATATTCCACTAGATCAGATTCATTAATTGTAAAGTCCAGCTTTTCTCTAGTCATCTTAATTTCTTTGTCAGAGAAATGCATTAAAATCTTCCTTTTTTGGGGGGGCGCCTGGGTGGCTCAGTGAGTTAAGCGTCTAACTTCAGCTCAGGTCATGATCTCACAGCTCATGGGTTCAAGCCCCATGTCAGGCTCTGTGCTGAAGGCTCTGTGCTTTGTAGTCTGTGTCTCCCGCTCCTCTGCCCCTCCCCTACTGGTGCTCTCTCACACACGCACATTCTGTCTGTCTGTCTCTCTCTTTCAAAAATAAATAAATGTTAAAAAAATAATAAGAAGAAAAAATCTCCCCCTTTTTTTTTAAAAAGTAATGTTTTTAGCCATATATAGGCTTGGAATTACATTATCATCCTTTATGGAATGTTGTGACTCTTCAATTTATCAATCTTATATTCCCCCTAATATTTATTTTTGATTAATACTAAAATAGTTACAACAGTTTTCTTTTGGTATTTATGGTGTATCTGTTTTCCTTCCTTTCACTTTTAACTTTGCATTGTCCTCACATTTTAATTGTGTATGTGGTAAACAACATATAGCTGAATTGTTCCCTCATCTTACTAATTTTTGACCTTTAATTGGAAAGATCTTTCCATTTACCCTGTTTTATTTGATAATGCCGTTGGCTTCATTTCTACCCTCTTTAATTTATGCATTTTATTTGTGCTTTAGTTTTTGGTTGTGTTTTTTTTTTCTTTCAATGTGCCATGTCTTGCCTGTTTGTTTGTTTGGTTTTTAATGTTTATTTTTTGTTTATATTTTGTGAGAAAGAGAGTGTGAGCCGGGAGGGGCAGAGAGAGAGGGAGAAAGAATCCCAAGCAGGCTCCACGCTGTCAGTGCAGAGCCCAACATGGGGCTTTATCTGGGGCTTGATCCCATGAACTGTGAGATCATGACCTGAGCCAAAATCAAGGGTCAGATGCTTAACCAACTGAGCCACCCAGGTACTCCTTGTCTGTTTTGTTTTTTTTTTTAATTGGTTCAGATTTCTCCTGTGTTCCCCAACTCCCATTCCATGTATTTCCTTCTGCTGGTTTATAGAAGGTATGTACTCTGTTTCTAATTTTTAATGATTATCTTAGAAATTTTAACATTCTATTTTCACTCAAATTATAAAACTAATCACTAATTTTCCCCTGCTTCTAAATATGATAGTACTTTAAAACCTAAATCCAATCATTCCTTCCTACTTAATTTCTATTTTTATCAGTATTTTAGTTCTTTCTTGACTTTTAACACCATAAGTTAGACACTATCACAATTTCTTTTGTGGAGTCAACTTTTGTTTAAATAGATGCCTTCTTTACCATTTTCTGTGTCCAGCATTCTTTTCTGCATCTCAGTCCTTCTTGCTAAAATTATTTCCTTCCTGAAGTACAGCTTTTAGAAATGTGTTTAATGAGGATCTGTTGGTAACACATTCTCTTCATTTTCGTTTGTCTGAAAACATCTTTATTGAACTCTTGCTCTTGAAATACATGTCTGCTACATTAAAGTAAGTTTGCACTTAATTTCTTTCAGTGTCTTTATTCCATGATGGTGATATCAGCAGCCAATCTGTTATTTGTTTGCAATACATTGTTTCTTTCTTGATGATTTTAAGATCTCTTTATCATCTGTGTTCAGCAGTTTGTGATGAGTCATGTGTTGACTTATTTTTATTTATAGTGCTTGAGATTCACTGAGTTTCCTGATCTGAGAAACATTCTTTTGTTATATCTGAAAAATTCCAAATTGTTATCCTGAGCTATGTCTCTTTCATTCTTTCTGAACCCTCATGTGTAATTCAGATTGAGTATATACTATATTTTCATCTAGTTATTTTCTCCTTACCTCTTCTCCTTTTTTTATATCCTCCCATTTTATTTTTCTGCTGCATTATGAAAACCTTCTTTACCTCTGCCTTCCAGTTTATCCATTCTCTTTTCAGCTATATCTAATTGTATATTAAACTCATAAATTGAGTTTCTGATTTCATTTTGATTATATTTTTATTTTTAAGATTGATTTTTTATGCCATCTGGATCTATTTTTATAGTTTATTTTTCCCTTTATCATGTCTTAAATTCCTCCCTAATTTTTAAAACTCATTAAACACTACTTTATAGTCTATATCTGATTACTCCAATATCTGCTGTCTTTATATAGTTTGTTTCCTTTATATAATTTGTTTCCTTCAGCTGACTTTTATTCATGGTACCTTATTTCCTGAGGTCCTGTTCTTTTGACACATTATATGTAGAAATTCTTTGAGATCTGAGTTGAGAAAATATCCCTCCACTGAAGTTTTGTGTTTGCTTCTGCCAGTCTGGAACTTATTTAAACCAAAATTTCAGCTTATAAATTTACAAGACACACAGGCAATGTAAATTATGACCTCAAACCTTCATGAGTTTGGACCCATGAAGGTTTTTTTTTAACCTCCTCTCCAGAACCCAAATCAGAACCATCGATTTACTTCTGTAAGGTTTGCTTCTTTCCAATTCACCCATTAAAGTTCTCTCGTTTGCCATGTGTGCCCAAGGATATACCCTCAGAGCAAATTATGTTTCAGCATTCTCTTTTATAAGTAGGTTCACCCAGCATTGTTGTTGTTTGTCTTCATGAAATTCCTTTACTGTCAATGGGATTCTTTTACTGTTCACAGGCTTCCTTTACTTCTCTGCCGGCTCATATTTACATTATATCATATTACATTAAATATATATGTGTATTCTCAGTAATTTTTGTTACGCCACACTGGTAGTGATTTCTGTCAGCAGCTGGTAAGCCGTGTTGTAAACAAAAACGAAACAATGATAAACTCAATTCAAATGTATTTTACTATAAGAATCAATAAAGCCATATGCAGCTTATCTTGTAAAATTTGCAGCATCCCTATACAGTCTAACTTTTAAATATGCATATACAGTTAATTAAGTGCCTCCCCAAATCAGAAGATAAGTACACTAAGAGAAAATAAATAATATGGTAATGTTGGATATTAGTTAATAAAAACTGAACATAGGAGCCACTGATATAAAATCAAAGAAATGTTTAAGACCCTCCTTTTGATACCTCTATCCAGGAAAGTGTTCAGGAGTTAAGAAAGAGAATCACAGTGCTCGACTGCCAATTGCGAAAATCGGAAATGGCTCGAAAAACTTTTGAGGCATCCACTGAAAAGCTTCTTCATTTTGTAGAGGTAAATTTTCCCATTAACATTACCTTATGCCCATTTTTAAGAAATCTATATATGACTGACACTCAGATAAATGTCATGGTGTTTGGTGGCTAGTGAGACATTCTCTGGGCTCAAAACAGCAATGCTAACCAGCAGCCAATTTTAAAATTGCATAAATAATGAAAAGACCAGCTAACAAATAGATTCTATTGCTAACAAATAGAGCAATAATCCAGACAGGATAACATGGTCCCAAATATATACTATGTTTTTTGAACTCTTTTTCAAAACTGTTAATACTATACAAATATTATTTGATAAATATTTACCCTATAAAGAAATGTTTCCATAGCTATTATTACACATCTAAGTGGCGTTGCATGTCAATGTAATTGATTCTTTTTTCCCCACATAACAGAAACACCTTTTAATCAATTGGGAGTGAAAGGAGGAGGGAGGTTATAAACATTAGTTAAGTAAGAAAAGATGTTTTAAAAATATCAAACTTACATATCTCCTTTACTATCTTATTTGTCTCTAGACTATTCAAGAATTACTTTCTGATAATTCTTATCCTTTATCAAATTTAAGGTAAGAACATTTAAGTGTTTACTGTAGAGTATGATTACGTTTTTCATTTGGTAATTGTGACTAAAATACTAGAAATCTCTTAAATAGCCTTAAGATGCTACATAACGATTTGATGCTGTTTTTAATGTCTTGTGGAAACAGATACAAGGACGTGTTGTTTTTGACCCCATTTCTGTAAAAGAAATTCCTGGAGGTATTTAGTCAGTCACTGTAACCTAGTACTCTATTGAGGTAGGAATCACCTATATTGTTTTTGTCAGGAATTCTGTAAAGAGGGGATTACCTTGAAGTTCTATAAGCATCCTGTGTATAAATAAAAATCACTTTAAAGGTCAGTCTCAAGCCAGCAGATCAGTTGTTATGGCAAACAATTTTATAAAACATGTTCATACAATCGGTTTCTTTCATTTTCAACATTCAGTAGACATAAAAAAATATACATATTTGGAGAATACACCTTGATTTTGTTACTGTTCACAGATTGTTTCCAATTCAGAGTTTCTTACTAGGAGCTACAAACATACTAATACAATTTATGTATTTCAAACTGCAAGTCTTTGGTCATTGTGATACATAATGAGAGATACAGAAACGAAAGTTTCCTGTTTATACATTTTCAGAGCAGTTTTTTTCCCTCATCTTGTAAAAGCTGCCACTAGCAATGTACTTCTACTTCTAGCAATGCATACTTGCAGACAGGAGAACTCTGCCCTTCCCTATGAAAACACCAGTTTAATAAATGATGATTCATTGTATTCTTATCTATTTTAGGGTTCCACATAGCATTTTTTTTTAACCTTAGAAGAATGTCTATGGTAGTACACTTAAAAAAATTATTATTGAAATATAGTTGACCTACAATGTTATGTTAGTCTCAGGTGTACATCATAGTAATTTGATTACTCTGTACTTTATGTGATAATAGTATACTTTTGAACTCACTTTATTGTCATGCTTTATTCTAATGAAAGATCAGACATTGCTCTCCATGCTGCTTATGATGCAAGATAAAATGAAGATAACATGAATTTCATAATAATTATTTTCAATAACAATGTTAAAATACTCAGCAATCAGATTCCCTTGTATGGTTAGATGTATTTCCCGTCCCCACCCTCCAAGGTCTCATTGTGACCTTGAATAATAATTCAGAAGTTTTGGTATTAAAAATGAAGGTTAAAAATGACTATTCAAAAGCCAGAGCTTGCTCTCAAACTTAAACTGGTTCATGGAAAAAAAAGTAACTTTAAAAAACAATATTAAGCAACTTTTCACCATGTCTTAGAAACTGAAACTCTAGTACAGTATGGTTCAGTCTTTCTAATATCTGTGTCTTCTGTAATAAATTTAGGCCTTGATCATTTAACACAGAATAAAGGCTCTGTGTTTGAATTTGAGAATTGATGCTTCAGTGTCTCCTTGTGAATGAATATCATCATGCTTAAGAAGATGGACTATAAATAATAATAGTTTTGTTATCAGTTTAAAATTGTCCCTTTTCAAATAAAAGTTTTAATGTGATGGTTTTTTGCAGTAAAACCTAGCATTTTAAATTATAAAAGAGTGCATTCATTTCAGGTGACATTTGCATCTCCAAAAAGTGTTATAAATGCTGTTTAGATTTAGGGACAACAAATGGAAGAGCTTAAGAGAAATTTCAGGAGCACATACACATTGAAATTCTATTTAATATTATAAGAAGTAACAGTAAATGTCTGCTTAATAAATTTACGTCTGAGTGCTTCATTTGAATTTTTACAAAACTAAATAAAAGGCTACATCATGTTAGCATAACATAAGCACTCACAAAATAAGCCCAACAAATGATTTATTTCTCCTTCTTATCAGGTCAGTCTAATTCTTTAAATATGTCTTTGTTACATAACGAAGAATAGAAAACAGAAATGTTTTGTGATTACTTCATTTTATGACTGTAAGAATTCAATATTCCCAGAAATACAAATATTTTTGTACATAAGAGTTCAGATTCAGCCAAGATGGATGTTATTTATTGTGTAATAAGCTCATCTTTGCATTATTGCCATCACAGTGAAAGAAGAGCTTTGTTAGCTTCTCAGACTTCCCTCACACCCCTGGGAAGGAACGGACGTAACATCGCAGCAACACTGGCACTTGAATCTAAGGAACTTGTTAAATCTGTTCGGGCCATACTTGATATGGATTGTAAGTTTTCTGCATTTTTTCACTTTTTTCCCCCCAGTAATTCATTTAACAAAACAAAAGGAGATTTCAAGCTTGACAGTTTAATTTTGTTAAATGCGTTGGTTTGCCTGTAGTAAAACTGAGAGCTAATTGATAAAAATCTCGATACACTCCTTGTAGGGGGAGAATATTTACTTTATTTAAAGTGCCTGAAATGACCTCCAACAGAAGATGGCTGATTAAGGCATGTTTTTGCCTCGACTTCCATCCAAAGTCTCTTTGAAATGGAAGAACAGATAGAAAAATAAATCCACAACAGCACTGGAAACCTGGAAGGTTAGAACCAACATTTAGGGATTTTTGAATAATACACAACAGATGGAATAAAATGGAAGGTACAGCCCAGCTGAGCAAAAGACCCCAAAACACAATAAAGATCAAAGACAAAACTGCTGAAACAGTAAGTTAACTAGAACCGTGAAAAAAATGTCCAGGATCACAGGCAGGGAAGACTGGGAACAGACCCTGGGGCACTCAGCAGGGTAATTAATTAAAGGGCTATGGAATAGCTGAACCAGTTCCCCACTCATCAGAGCTGCTGGCTCAGGCATTTCCTCCTGAGCCAGGGCCAGGAGAATACCTCTCTTAAAGAACTGCATGATCTGTCCTTGGACACCCCCAGAGTCAGCACTGGGCTAGAAAGAGATGCAGGGGAACAGGCTTAGTAATGCCAGTGTCCCAGCAGACAGGGAGATCCTTGGGGAGAGCTTAAGTGATCAGTTATTTCCATCCTTCCCTCCTCCTGTCTCCCAGCACTTTTGCCTCTTCATGGATTTGGACTCCCTTTTAATTTGTTTGTTCTTCTGTCTCTTCTCTTGATGTCAGTCTGTCTGCTGGTTGTCTTTATGCTGGCCTCTAGCATTCCACTGTCTCTGTTTGCCACTCTTAATCTTCCCTATGCTGGGGACGAGATATCAAATATATATAAATATAAATGTAGAGAGGCACAGAAAAAACTCTTTGTTCACAAAGTATCCAAATAATAAGTTTTGAGTAAAGTCCTGTCTAGTAAATGGTTTGGCTTTGTAGAGGATACTATTCAAAGACCCTTTGGGGTAACTTTTAACTTCAAAACTATGTTATAGAAAGAGAATTGGAAACCATGCACAATTTGTGCAGTGAGGTTTTTTTTTCTTAATTTTGTATAACCTATTAAATTAAAAAAAAATCAAATTATATTTCAAAAACCCTATAAGAACTCTCTATGTGAAGAAATTCTGTGGGTTTCAGGATAGATGAAAATAATCACTTCTAATGTATTATGTGTACACTCAGAATTTAAAATATCAGACATTTTTAAGTTAGGGTGGGACCAGTGGAGGGAAACACCTGCATACACACACATAGCCCAGTGGACACTGCCATCATTAATTTTAATTACCTTGCTAACATTAACCTTTACATTTGTCAAACATGATTATTCAAAGAAAATATTTGAAATTCAGCAGAACTCCTTTGGAAGAGAAGTGAAAAATTCCATCGGCACTTTTTATGTCGTAAGATTGTACCTCATTTGCTGTTTAAACTAGCAAATAGTTTCTGCGTTGTCTTTTTTATTTATTTAGAGATATAATTGCTAACATTGGCATGTATTCCCAGTACTTCATAATTTTTATGACCTATCTTTTTCAGTTTGATAATTCGGATAAACTCAGCTCATTTTCTTTCTCTTTATGCAGTCGCTTTTCTATATGTAATGGAAAGCAGAAAATTACTACCATGAGGTAGATAATTCAGCTGCAGCCTCTACCTCATTTCCTTTGGCGTGACTGTCTGGTTATTTCAAGTTACAATTCAGAATTTTCTCTTGGGTAATTGCCTTTACTTTCTTCTTAACATAAGTATAATCTAGGATGTTATACAATGGGATTTCCTCAGAAATGAGAATCAGATTTCTTGGGTGTTATAGCTTAAACCCAGTCTCTGATGGAATATCTAGAAGATAATTCTGAACCTTTTTTAGATGGTGGCCTCTACTGAAATCTGGAGAAAGCCCTGTTACCAGACATGTGCAATTATATACATTTGCATCCATCTTCAGAGTGTTTATAAACCCCAACTTAAGAACCTAGATGTAGGGTCACAGAGGGCACGAGTGCTTTTTACAGCCTTGCAAACCTGGCCATCCAGCTTTCATCGGGATAGCTGTAGCAATGGAGAATTATGTGAATCATGGAGGCATCCTCGAGGAACAGTTTGAACCCATGTAAACAGTGCTCTGCAGAATTTCTGATGATCCTTGGAGGTGCCCCAGGGAATACCCCAATTAGCCATCCAACTTCATTGGGCAAATTAATTAACCTCTGGTCCTCTTTCCTCATATAAAAGGTGGAGTTCATAATATCTAAACTGGCAGGGTTGGAGGATTAAATGAGATACATGTAAAGTAGCTAACGGAGCACCTGGTAGTATAAGGTGTTCATTAATGGACATTGCTACTGCTGGTGCTGCTAATGCTGATACCACATTATTATCATCTAAAGCAGCTAATTTAAAACTACTTTTTCTCTGTGCTAAGTATTAAGTAACTATCATCTAAATCTTTCAGTTTGGATCCATTTGAAAAATATGACAGATGAGAGCTTTCCTTAATGTATAACATATAATGTTATTTTCAATTTTGAGTTATAATGTAATCATCATAGGAAACCATGGCTAAATGTCTCAATCAGCATCTTATCTTTCAGTTGTTTTTTTGCTAACTATAACAAAATTTTGGTCTGTTCCACTGTACTGCCTCCACTGAAATAGCATGTAGACAAAATAAGCATTTTCAATCAGTATCGGAACCCCTACAGGTGCCTCTATCGTTCGATCTCCATCAGTATTTACATGGTCAATATCATAATGTTTTAGTGTAATCTTTATTTGAAATAACTACTTGTTTTGAACTTAAATCTTTGATTGACATCTAGTTTCACAAAATAATTCTGTTACAAAGGCAGGAAGAAGCAGTTCTACTTTTAAAACGCATAATAAAATAATAACTGGCCAGCTATTCCATAGGAGGTCTTTAATAAGAACTTACTGACTTCCTCGTAGATGGGCAGCACAAACACAGGTATCCACCTTCCTTCACGATTCCCGTGGAAATGATAGATGGAATATAAAAATAGAGTAAAAATCTTCAAAAGCACTTGTAGTTACAGGCAAATCCCAAAAACTTCGATAGGGCAGGTGAGGCCACATACAAGGAAAGCACAAATGCCCAACTTGTTACTCCCCCTGCCTAACAACAGTGGCAATTATGGGATAATTGGAGGTCCTTCTGGCAGGAGGACAGTCCTTAATGCATTCTAATTTGAAGGGGTAATGAATAAAGCCAAAGACTCACTAGGGGGGCAGATGGACTCTTTTTCCTCTTTTATCTTGGTGAGTCAATGGCATTTTTGGAATCCTCAGGATTCACACAGATTCTGTGTCAAGCGGAAAGCTGACTGGGGCTTGGTCTCTTAGGCAGCAAAGACACACAGTGACATGCGCACACGCATCGACATGCACTGGGGCACACAGGACACTTTAAATGCAAAGGGAGCCCAGAACAGTGGCTTCTGCACCAAATGCCATCCCACTTTTCACAGCCACCTCTGGTCTTGGCTCACCTCTCACTCCCCTCAGACTACTGCATCATCCTTATACTCACAACACAAGTATACACTGGCCAGCCCCAGCCAGAGCTTTGAGAGGGTAACTCCAACAACAACGTGGTTAAATGTCAGTGCAACCAGAGGGTCCACACATTGTTTCAAAGGTCAAAATCCAATTCTGAGTAGAGTTCTCTACATCAAGTTTCTATAAAGAGAAATACATAACGTGTGTGTGTGTGTGTGTGTGTATACATACACACACACATTTCATTCAAGATCTTTTAAACAAATATATACATAAGCATACCAATATATGATCATGATAAAGTCCACAGTGTTAAAGCAAGAAAATAGAGCTGTCAAGATTTAGAATAGACTACCATCTACCAAGATGGTAGAGTGATCTCATGCCAAAACCTCCCCATTCTGCTCCTACACTTAGAAATGACATTTAAAATTATGTTTGTGTATTTAAAAGATGAAAACCAAAAAATTCACGTCTCCCTGCACCAAGAACAGAGAGTAAAACTGTAATGATAAGTGAGCTCTTAAGCTTCAGAGATTCATGGGGTTGGGATGAGCACCTGGAGCCAAGGTTTCTACACCCACGAGGACCCAAATGATGCCTGAGCAAAGGAAGCAAGGAGCAGGAATCTTCCTGTGGAGAATACACTTTCTTTTCTTAAGTTACTCATATATTAGGCATTAAAAAAAAAAAATCCATCCAATTTAGGAGCCATCTGGGCCTGCCAGTAATTAATGTTGAAAGTAAATATTCTCATCCACTACAGGTGGGAATGTAATTTGGCACAACATTTCTGGGAATCAGTTTTGCAGTATATATCGAGAGCTTTTAAGATATCTATTTGAAAACTATTTTTGAAAGTCAAAAATAATATTTTGTTGGTCATTTATTTTAACCCTACAATCCTACCTGTTGGTATTTTGCAAAGAAAATAATGAGAGATGTGCTTAAAAATGCATATATAAGTATTTGGATCACAGCATTTCTTATAATAGCAGAATTATGGATATTCAACTGTTATAGAGTGGTTGAATAATTATATAATTTTTTACTCAACCAACTGAAAATGAAGGTGAACTTTACCCCTACCAAGCAATGACTATCTGATTACATATATTTGTCTGTGGGAGCTTCCTGCATCAATTCAGGTGTTCCTTACTGTCTGAAACTAGCAGTATTTTAACTTTTAAAATTAGAATGTCAGTAATAGATGCTTTTTGTCTTTATATTCTGAAGCTAATTAGAAGTTATTTAGGCAGATGGGAAAAGGTTTTATGAGAAAAAGGGGAAACGTCGTACTGCAACATTTGTAGGACTTTATGATTTTTTTTCTTTTAGATCCAGAACTC